CATCTGGCTCTGTGCTGACAGCTCAGAGTCTGGAGCCTGCTTCGGATTCTGTGTCTCCCTCTGTTGCTCTGCTCTGTGTCACTCGGTCTCTCAAAAATAAACAAACATTGAAAAACAAAACAAAATTTTATTTCCTCATGGTTTTAGAGACGGGAAGTCCAAGATGAAGGTGTCAGCAGGACTGGTTCCTTCTGAGGGAGAATCCAGGCCCCCTCCTGGCTGCTGGTGTCTGTCTTTGTTCCCTGGCTTGTAGAGACATCACCCCATCTCTGCCTTCATGTTCACACGGCCTTGCCCCTGTGTGTGCCTGTGTCCAAATTTATAAGGTCACCAGTCCTTGGATTAGGGGCCGCCCTACTCCGGAATGACCTCGTCTTGTGCGACCACATCTATGACAACTGTATTTACAAATTAGATCACATTCTGAGGTCCCGGGGGTTGGCACTTCAACTTAGGAATATTGGAGGATGCAGTTCAAGCCATGACATTGGCGAAAAGCCCCCGGGGAATCTCTGGAGTCCTGAGTAAGGACAGAACCAAGGCTGACTGGCACTCTTCTTGGGGGTGGGGCCGGCCACCTGGTCACCAGCAGCCTTGCATCACCAGGCTGGTCTCCATCCAACAGAACCAAATCAACAAATGCATTTAACACCCTCTAGGTGCAAAGCCTTGGGGCCAAATGCTGTGGAGAAATGGGGCACCGCCTAAGACGGACTCCCGGCCCTGACAAGGTTTTTCTCAGCTGGTCTCAGAGCCCCTACCTGCTGGCCGGGCCTGGCCACCATGGAACCTTCCTCCCCGGCCAGGCCCTGCAGGGCCCCCAATCCAGGGGTGGTGCCTGGGGTTCCTGAGCTCCAGGGCTCCCAGGACGGTGCTGGGTGATCTTAACTCCTAGTCACCTGGGAGGAGTCAGTATACTTCCTTCTGGCGTGTTTACAGGAGAAAACTTTCCTTTGATGTGAAGATGGCCTGTTCTGGTGTCGTGGAAAGTTCTGTCTGCCCTCCCTGCTCAGGGGATCAAATGAAAGAAGGCTTTATGAAGCTGCCACCCAGGCCTTCCCGAGAGTGGCCAGGCCTCGGGCTGGAGACAGGCCCCGTCCTACTGAGGTGAGCTGAGAGCTTGGGGGTTTTGGCTTTTGGGTTTCAGCTTGGGCCAGAGAAGGGACTGGTGCCCAAAGCACCCCCCCCCCCATTCACAACAGACTCCCCTGAAAGGTATTTAATGTGCTTTTAATTCTTACGTGGGCACTGGAGCCGTCCTCTAAACCGTGGGCCTGGCCTGAAGCGTCTCACTTTGGAACCTTTTGTCAGAAGCTGGCTGTGAGCGTCTCACCTAAGAATGTTGGTTGGCAAACCCTAACTACCTGTAACCACATCAGAACCACACCTGTATTCATGTGGCTTTCTTCCTGATGCCCGTGTGAACCTGCGATCTGGCTTATACGATGTTAGGTTTCTACCTTCTAGAGGAATAAAGCAAACCAAAACATTTAATGCAAAAAGCCCACTTTGAAAAGTCCGAGGAGTGCGACTAGTGGTGCTTTTTATCCAGCAGAAAACAGGAGCCAGAGAGCCCATTGGGAGACTGGGTGCAGGGCCCACTGTACAGCCTGTCCCTGCCGGCAGGCTCTGAGGCCTGAGGACCTGGGGGGGCAGGCGGGGGAGGGGTGTCTGGTGCACCAGGGCAGTAACTTCCTGCCACCTGGAGAGAGAAGTGAAGGAGGGCAGGGGAGAGGAAGAGAGGGAGATTGGGACGCCCGGGCTGCTAAGCCTTAACTGACCACCCTGAGTGTGCAAAATTGCCTGCTAATCCAGCAGCCCGGCCAGGTTTTGGACTCCACCCCCACAGCCTCCCAGCAAATCCAGGCCCTGGAATGTGCTAATCAGCTGCCTCTGCAAAAGGGGAAAGGTACGGGTGATTCACCGCCGCTCCCAGGAGCACATGACACCGTGCTCCCGCCCGGTCCCAGCTCTCCACGCGGAGGGGCCTGGCTCTGGCGCAGTTGGGTCCACAGGGTCACCCACACCGGTCGCTGGGGCAGGGAGCACAGGATTGGACCCCGCCTCCCCCTCCCCCCGTGGCAGCCTCACTCCCTGCCGGGTTTCCTCCTCTGGAGGCTGGAGGCCATGCGCCCCCTGGGGGAGCAGCTCCCATCTTGGAGGGCAGGGCCGCCGTCCTCCCACTGAAGCTGAACGGCGCCAGCTCACCTTTCCGCGGCTAAGCGTCTCGTTGTGCCAGCAGGACGGAGGCACCGCACACCTGAACCCGGGAGCGGACCAGCTGGAAAGCTGCTGGCACAGGCCACCCGAGACTGGAGAA